CTGGCTCCTGGCCAATCCCAGAAGCACCGGGCTCCTGGCCAATCTCCTCTCCGTCGGAAGGCACCGAAGGCCGCACCAGAGGGGAAGGTCCTGGAGAGGGAGGCCTGGCCATCTCCTCTCCTTCATGTTCAGAGCCTTCCTCCTCTGATGAGAGGGACCCACAGGACGGAGCCACAACACAACTGATGAAAATTGCAGCCATTTTCTCTTTTCTTTTAACATACTTTTTTCTGGTATTTAGAAATCGGGTGCGGGGTGGTGGTGTTTGGGATGAAAGCTTGAGCTCAGCGGAACACTCCGGAAGAAAGGCTTAAAATACAGAAGGATCTTGACAAACTTGAACAGTGGGTGCTATCTAACAAAATGAAATTCAATGGCAAAAAAGTAAGGTTCTACATTTAGGCAAGAAAACCAAATGCGCAGGTATAGTATAGGTTGCTCAACAGCAGTAACTGTGAGAGGGATCTCGGAGTCCTACTGGACAATCACTTAAATATGAGCCAGCGGTGTGCTGCAGCTGCCAAAAAAGCCAACACAGTGCTAGGCTGCATTAACAAGGGACAGAATCATGATCACGTGAAGTGTAATACCAATTTACAATGCCTTGGTAAGGCATCCGGTTCCGGTCACCACGATGTAAAAAAGATGTTGAGACTCTAGAAAGAGTACAGAGAAGAGCAACAAAGATGATTAGGGGACTGGAGGCTAAAACATATAAGGACCAGTTGCTGGAATTGGGTATGTCTAGTTTAATGAAGAGAAGGATGAGGGGGGACATGATAGCAATGCTCCAAAATCTCGGGTTCCAAAGAGGAGGAAGTCAAGCTATTCTTCAAAGCACCTGAAGACAGGACAAGAAACAATGGATGGAAATTAAAGAGAGAAGCAACCTAGAACTAAGGAGAAATGTCCTGACAGAACAATTAATCAGTGGAACAACCTGCTTCCAAAAGTTGTGAATGCTCCAACACTGGAAGTTTTAAAGAAGAGACTGGACAACCATTTGTCTGAAATGGTATAGGGCAGAGGTCCCCAACCTTTTCGGCACCAGGGACCGGTAACGAAGAAAGACTTTTCCCCAGACCAGAGAGGACGGCGTTTTGTTTGCTGCCTGCATCCTGCGGATGGGGCTTTCCTTGTTTGTGCGGACTGGTTGCTGGCATGCTGCGACCCAATACTGATCCACAGACCAGGTTGGGGACCCTTGGTATAGGATTTCCTGCCTAAGCAGGCGGTTGGACTAGGCCTCCAAGATCCCTTCCAACTCTATTATTCTTATCATCATTCTTTCTGTCTTACAATACTTTATCTAGGAACTAGAAACCAACTCATTTTTTAAATATTGTCCCATTCATAAATCATTCTAATAATGAAATGCATTCAGTATTGCCATTTCTTTGAGGCAAGAACTCCTAGAGAATATCTTGAACCTTATCTCACACTCTTAGCTGACTGATATGATAGTTGGACACAAAGAACATCAGTCCAATGAGTTGTATTAGTAGCATGATAACATGCCAGTAACATTCCAACTGGATGCTTTTACACAACAACTATGAACTTAGTATGTTGTTGTACTGGGAAAATCAGAAGATAAGTAAATTTTAAATAACATATAGTAAGACATAGTGGAAATTGCAATAACAAGATGCTGAATCTCAGATAGTTAGAAATTGCATTGTAGTTGCTTTCTAGTGGTTGACTTGAGCCAAGAATCGGGGTAAGAAAAAATGGCTCTCCAGCGGGAAAATACATGCTGCCCACAAGGGTTTTGGAACAACAGCAGGAACTTGATAGGAATTAGAAACTCCACAAATTTTCTACTTGCAATAAACTGGGACAGAGTCAGAAACAACTGTTTTGAGACCAAGGGAGTCCATCCAGGTTAAAAAAAATAAAATCAATCTGGTAGAATTATTGTAGTTGGGTAGAAAAATTGGAATTCCTGTATCTCTTAGTATGTTTTTCTGAAGACTAAATGCTGAACTCCTGTGCTCCACTTGCTAAATTCATTTGAAGCATACCTGTACCAAACAGGTTAGATAGTAGTTCCTCACCTCCAGTGGGCCTGCACATGAGCTTAAAATTGGCAAGATAAAATCAATTTCACAGGAAATTATACTGCTTAAAATAGTCCAACTGGAGGTTATCTCTGGAGAGATCACAAACACAGCTTTAGCTCTGCACAAGCAACATAACAGTTTGCAACAAGAACAGCTAACTCTGTGGTAGGAATATATGCTCCATGAGAAACCTGGAACACTATTAATTAGCCTTGCATTAACATACAAAGTTTCTTACCAATGTCAGATCCCTAATCCCACCAGTTGGAACTCTCCATGTCTCTTCAATTAAAGGGTCAATTTTTGGGATCCAGGAGGTGTCCTTTTCTGTTGCAGTATCTGCCCTTTAGTTCAGCTTGAAATCTATGTGGTCCCATCTTGCTGGTAAAGATAGTCCTCAACGTACCACAATTGAGCCCAAAATTTCTGTTGCTAAGCAAGACATTTGTTAAGTGAATTTTGCCCCATTTTACAACCTTTCTTGTCAGTTGTTAAGTGAATCACTGCAGTTAAGTTAGTAACATGGTTGTTAAGTGAACCTGGCTTTCCCATTGACTTTTCTTGTCAGGTCACAAAAGGTGATCGTATGACCTCAGGACACTGCAATCATCAAATATGAACCAGTTGCCAAACATCAAAATTTTGATCATATGATCATGGGGGGCTGCTACGATTGTAAATATGAAAAACAGTCATATGTCACTTTTTTCAGTGCTGTAACTGATTGCTAAATGAACTATTGTAAGTCGAGGACTATCTGTATTCTGTAAAGTTTTGAATATTTGGTTGTTTTCCCAGACTTTGGTATGTGATGGATAGAGCCCCTTGTTGGGTGTGTTCCTTACTTTTGTCTGTGTATTGTAATCCCATCTTGGTTTTGATCTCATAATTTTAATGTTATGTGGGAAACTGGTAGCAGAGCCAGACTAGACAACCAGCATCTAAACTATATCTCTGTCTGTGGGAAATTTTTCAGAAGGAACCTTCCCTAGTTTGGAGAATAAAAGGAGAGGAAGGGAGAAATTCTTTCAGTCTTGCCAGATTCTGTTAATGTAATATAGAGCTAACACTCCTGGGCTGGCTTCTGATCTGCTCTACCTGACAGAGCTAACATTATTTGTGAACTTCTGAGTCATTTTGGAGTTGGATGGTGTCTATACTGAATTAATTTATAAAAAAATAAAATTTATAAAAGAATAAAAACAGAGGAAGAAACTTACCTACCTACATGTGCAGAATTGCTGTATGGTAGTCCTATTTAGTGACAGAGTTGCAATTAGCAATTTGGTCATTAAACAAAACAGTTGCTAAGCGAAACTCTGACTATGCTTGTGATCTTAGTGCAGCTTTCTTTTGCTTTCATATCTGCAAAGGTAGCAAATGTGAGGATTGGTTGTAAAATTACTATTTCATCATCCTCTTTAACGTGAACAATTGTTAAATGACAGTCTCTGTAATAACACATATATATTTATCAGGTGATTTTAGCTGCTGAAAATAGTAAGAAGCTCAAAGCCATTAAATACATAGAAAAGGCAAGGATACAGATGTCTTCTTCAATGTTTAGTGTCTAGTTTCCTTTCCTCATACTAATCCCATTTGTCCATTTTGGCAGTTCAGTATTTTTTTTTAATGAAATTCTGACTTCTACAAACAGATCAAACTAAACAACACAATGTAGTATGTTAAGAACATGCTGCTTTTTATATGAAAGGACTTCTTTCCACATAAATGTGATTTTGGAGGGGAATGGGGCAAGAACACATTTGCTTGCTTTGTAAACCTACCCTTGCAATTGTTTCTATTTAAGTATTTCTTTATCCTACGCACTGTAGGAAAACCATATTAATCTTATGATGGCAAAAAATCAGAAATAACCTGGTAGCAGACTCCTGATTTTTTATCATCTACTCCATAATACTGAAAATGCCATTTTAGTATGTGGTTTCTACATGCAAATTCAAATGAACCAAAGCATCATGGCCATAGGTCAGCAAGCAGATTTGCTTTTTAATTTATTAAATAGAAAATTGAATTAGTCAAGATTTGACAACTAAGTACGATTAGATGTAGAAGCAGTCCGCAGGTTAACAACATCCAACTTAAGGATAACCCCTGCCTATTATTGGTGGCACACTGGTTAAAGTGCAATGTTTCAGGCAATCTCTGCCCACCTTGTTGGGGGTGATATGCAAATAATGCTCAAATTGTAAACTGTCCAGAGAGTGCTATATAGGGCAGTATATAAGCCTGAAGGCTATTGCTATAGATGGGATAATTTGAAGTTTCTTTTTAAGGCATTGTTCTTGGTTTTCAACTGGTAAAGAACAGACACCCTTCTCTCACCTCCAAAACTGTAGCTGTGGATACAAACCTAAGTAAAAAGCTATGAACATGCAGAATTCTGCCATTTATGCAGAATCTTATCTGCCAAACACTACATGAAGGACAAGAAATTATAATTTAGGTAATGTTGAAAGCCAGTGGGAACTGGACTACTCAACTAAATGAGCAAATCTGTTACTTTCAGTTTCTCATCTTCTTGCAGGAAACTCATCCCATCCAATTTCAGCATCAATTTCTGAACAGTTCACAAATAGAACTAACATTTGTATGCATGTCCAGTGTTTTCCTGATTTCAGAGTGTATTTTGAAGATACTTTTAATTAATACACACTTTTTAAAATCTGAAAACTATCATCAAACTCACAGAAATATAAATGCTGAAGTAAAACTATTTGGTTAAGAGGGAATTGGGAGAATTTAAACAAAAAGATGAATAAACCCGATTTCTCCATCTCTAGTCTTGACCCGAATTTTTGGGGGCAATCCATTCTGGAACACCTCTTCCCCACAAACAATTTTGCATCTCTTGGTTTGCAGCCAACTACTGGCCTTCTGGGTACAAGAACACACAGATGCTGGCATTGTGTTAAGTTGTAGGAATTTATTTTAAATAACCTACAGTTGATTAAAAGGGAATTCATGATAAAAATAGAAGATACTTGTCAAGGAGAGACTGCGGGAAACTTGCCTTTGCACCACACTAAACTAACAATGCTTCTAAAACTAATGGACTATAGCAAAAAAAGGTTCACATTAAAATTCTGCTTTATTTTTTTATTATTTTTTGTACACAATTACAAAAGAAAAAAAATAAAAGCCCTAAATCTTGATTTTTTTTATTTTTTTTTCCTGGACCAAAGCTCACTTCCCTCAAAATTTTATTGACCTGTGAAAGTTCTTTTTACACAATAAAATCTTTCAAGTAAAAGAGAGCAGAAAGGTTTTTTTTTTATTAAAAAAAAAGGGGGGGGGGAGAGAAAAAAATCTGCCATAGGAAAAAACAAAACAAAACCCACAAATGTGGATATTTCTCATATATATATCTATACATATATATATAATGTACTCAGAACAAAGTATGATGGGAATACATTTTGTCACAAATTTGTTTGTACTCATAATCTATTAACCCTCCCCAGCCCTTTCCCTCCTATCTTCTGCAAATCTACATGATCTTTAAGATCAAGAAGAAAAAAAAGTTTAAATATTTTAAAATAATTAAAAGTACTAAAAATTCACATTAACAAAAAAAGTAACACTCAAGTCAGGAAGGATCTTCCCATCATGCTTTGCTTTGAAGAGATGTTGCATTTTTAGTCTAGGTTTCATTACCATGATGGTGATAAGTAAAAATGAAAACAACAGGGTGTTTCCAGGACCATTGTGGCCAAAACCAGTGTGCTAAGGGCTTCAGTTGTGTTAAATTAATGAGGGGGATGGGGAGAAATTAAGGAGTCCATTTTCTATTAAAATATAGAAGTTATTGCAAAACCCTAACTGTAAAAACATATCAATATCTCATTGGATTCTGTATACAGTAGATAATGATTTCCAAGCTCTTCAGTGTAATGGCAAATTTGTCAGGTAGAACATTAACAAATTGTTCCATTCATTTGTCCTTACTGTACTCCAGAGATAAAACACAACCATACAGCTAGAATTTAGGTCTCTGAAACAGATTTAAATAAGTTGTCCATAGGACAACTGTCTTGGCTCCTCTACAATATTCCAGGCATATCTTTACTCAAAGATGTTGGGTATTTCATCAGACACTCACTTTCCCCTCTGACACCCCCCGCCCCCCAATATAAAGAACAAGTAAGGCTCACAGTTTATCAATCTCCCTAAAATCAGGCTACGCTCATTTTCTTCCATAAAATCCAGCCCATTAAAATCACATTAAAACTCGAAGTCTTCATCTGCCATGTCAATTGCCCAGGCAAATTTCTCTCGTTGAGTTTTATTATATATTTTCTCTATCGGTATTCCAAATTTCTTGCACCTTAAAATTGGGAGGGGGGAGAGAAAGAGAGAGGGTGAGAAATAGAGACAAAACAGAAGCAGTTGATGATAACAAAACTTAAGTATTGTACTCTCAACAAGTCAAAATTTCAGAGATACACTTTCTAAATCTATAATACATACATGGTGGAGTGACTTGATCATGTCTAGAACCAATTCTTAAAATCTTCTCTGAAATCTTAGGAAACACTGTAAAGTAGGCATTCATAGAGGGTAGGAGCAAAAGCTTCTAATTATGCTTGAAACTAATATTTAAGGTGTGTGTGTGTGTGTGTGTGTGTGTGTGTGTGTGTGTGTGTGCAAACATAGAAACATTGCATTTCTACAAATGATGTCTTCATCTCAGTCACTACAGTGACTTCACCTTGAAAGTAATCTGAATCAGCCAGTCCACATCTCTGATGAAACATATTCTACAGTTCTGAATCATGTGCATTTTGCAGACCACTACCATCCAAGGTTAAAGCATCAATGTATTGTTCCCCTGAAATTTATTATGTATTAGTTCAAATGCAGTCAAGAAACCAGGAGTCTGAGGAAAAAGGCTATCCAATTTAGAAAGCAAGTGTGACTAAATCCCTATCCTTATGTTCAATACAGCATTTTCCATTTTTTTAAAAAATTCATAATCATCACAGCAAGACCTCAGTGTGACTTCAACACCTGATACCTACATGGCCTGTGGTTTCCTGAATCTTCAGAACATGCAAGTCATTATTTGCAACCCATGCTTACTATCGTTCCTTACTCTTGATTTGATTTGAATAGAACCTGTATTTCCAGGTTTGGGCTTTTCTCCTTATGTTACATTACTGCCATTTTGGTCAGAGACCAAAACTATAAAACCCGCTTTTTGCAAAGAATTTGAAGCAGAAAGGGCTACATAATGGGTGATGATAAGTTAATAAGTGATATTATTTATAGGTAACTTATTTATAATTTTTGTTTTAAGGATATAAGCTGCTGAAAATGTTAGAAAAAGTGACAAACAGATGCATCAAATAATCTTCCATTGGTGTTTCGGCAATGTCATATTCATAAACTGGGAGCTTGGCTTTGTGCTGGAGCACACAGAAACTTTAATCCAGTTCTAAGTAAGTAAAGTAAGTGAACTATTATGAGTTTCATCTATTCTGTGACTAAAAAAGCCCCAAGGGCATCAACTGTTACTTTTTTTAAAATACCACAATATGAAGCATTTATTTTCTCCAGAGTAAGTAAATACACCTGTTTGATTCACCTTCTTTTTCTCCTGAAGTTATTTTGAATTTGAGAAGGCTTGTTCCCACAGTTAACAGCAGTACTAATGTCATTCCTTTGTGCAAGTAAGATATACTATTTTGTTTGATACACCATTTTTGACTAGATGTAGAGCACTTCTTTGAATATTTTGGCATAATAAAAACACCCCACCAACAAAAATCCTTTTTGCTTTAACATGCTGCTTTTGTCACTACAAGAAATTTCTACTTCCCAAAATCTTATTCTACTTCTACTGGATGTAGGTTTCATACAGATTGAACTGTATCTACTTCAGCCTTTTGAAATTGCTGCATGAATCAAGAAAAGCGAAATGTACCCAGCTTAACAGAACTGTCTTGGAAAGCCAAATATGAACAAAAGCCTAATTTACTTCAAAATATTATCCCCCTTTCTCAAACTAGAACTTACCAAGCAACAGAAATTCTAGGATCCAGATAATTTAGTTTGGAGGTACTCAAAGCTATTTGCTTGTTTTCCTCTCGGTCTGTTGCTTGAACTTCCAGCTTCATCAGCTGTTCCTCCACCCTTTGTACAGCCTTCTTCTTAGTTTCCACAGTCCTGTAAAAGGTGAAAAAAAATAAAGAAAACATTAGGTAACTTTCTGAAATATATTTCTCCAAGAGGAATTAGGTATCCAGCAGGAAAAAAAATCCCTTAAGTGGACTGCTAAGCACATGTTAAGTTTACTCTTGTGCAGAACTGAGAAGGGATTATCGTCATTTCCCTGTACTAGAAGTGTAAAATGCTTAACAATGCTTATTTCCCATGGTCTCCGAATCAGAGTTTATGATAGGTCAGAACTACGTCCCTTATATAGATACGATGGACAGATAAGATGACTTATCTAAAGTGGCCCAGAAAGACCTTGGTTGGGAAGGAAATTGAATCAGAGGCCTTCTGGGCTTCATTCCAACAAATGTCTGTTCATGTTAAAATTCCAGCTTTTGCAGGATGCTTAAATGCAGAGACTAGGAAGACCATGGCTATTTTGCTTTACTTTGTTCTTTTGTATAGATTTTTTTTTAACCGAGAATATATATACCTGAACTTACATATAATAGCTAAAGAAAGGAATAATGAATTATCTTGCTATAGACAGAATGCTGCTCATAACCTGATTAGCCAATTCTGATGTATGTTTCTGAACAGTACAGATACGAGGGAATTCTGCCCAGGGAGAGAGCAAATATATATATTATTGACTTCTTGGAGTCATGAGAAATCTATATACTACTAAAAACTGATGTCTATAACCTTCAGTTGGGTGAAATAGTGCGTCATAGGGCAACAGGTTTTGAACTAAGGGACCTCAAATGGGCTAACCCGCAGTTCTGTGTCCAAAATCCAGGAGACATGACTCGTGGGATTGAAATTTGGCCACTTCAGTGCTGCTGCACTACCATGTTGCTATCTGAAGAGTTAATAGACTGGTCCTGCCCTAGCCCTCCATAGCCTGGGTAGACTGATCCTGCCATCAGCTGCCAGAGGATGATCAGCAGTGGTCAGGCTGATAGGAAGTTAGAAGTTGCTCCCACTCCCACTGATTTTTTACCCACCCATGGTCATTTTATTTCTCTGTTTAGGTAAGGAAATATCTCTGAAACAATGACCCAACAAGTCAGACGTCTACTACATCCTATAGTTGAAGCATCTTTCCAGACATATCTGGGCATCTTTCTACTTGGTATAAGAAGGCCAAAATCTTCCTGGCTCAAATGTGCAGGACAGTTGCTAGTGATATCTTTTCATGTCTTGTGACTCTTGTGTATCCAGGTATTTATTTAAACAGTCCTATGTGGGTGTTCACTGCCCTTGCAATCAGAACCATATAAGGGAAGAAGAAAGCCTATTCTCTAGCAGGTTAACACTGTCACATCCCATTGCTTAACAATATTGCTCTTTACACATATGAAAACAAAGCTGCCTTTAATAGGCACTTCACATGACTAGGGGGCCAGATAAAAGGGATAAAACTCTGTAGCATTTCTCAACTAAAGTCATGTCTTTTAAATTTCCTATACTACTCAAGAATCAAAAATGCAAGATTGCATCTTCTTCTGCAGATGGCCATCCCAACATGTTTTAGATTATGCTGATATATATGTTTACTTACTTATATATGATTTGGAATGCAGGGAACCTACTGGTATAGTATACCACTCCTATCTATCTTACCTGTTCATTCAATCAGTCACCCAATCAATATGATGTATCAATCACAAAGGCAATTCTAATCTTTCCATTTCAAAAATTTCCTTTCCACGCCTGCAACAGCACTAGGGATTTGATACAGGAAGCAGTCCCAATCCCTTCTTTATGTTAAAGCACAAAATGATAAATACTGGTAGTCCGTGACTTATGTCTACAACTGGGACTGGAATCTCAGTTGTTGAGTGAAGTAGTGGTTAAGTGAGATGAAACATGACAGCTTTTGCTCAATGATCACAATCCCGGCTCTTCCAGTTGCAGTCGTTAAAGTAATCACATAGATCGTTAAGCAAAATGCTGGCCGTTCGCCCCACACAGGAGGCACGCTCACTGTGGGTTTTTACAGGCAGTCCCCATTCTTGTGATCATTGGAAGCTCCAAATCCCATGATTTGGAGAAAGATTCTTCCAAATTATTGTGATAACAATCATGTTACTAGCTTTCCTAGCCTAGAAAATCCTTCTAGTCTTCAGTGCAGTGATGTTTGTAAAAAGAGGGTTAGAATGCTAACAAAGGCCATTCTTCTAAAGCAGGGGTGTCAAACTCAATTTCATTGAGGGCCGCATCAGCATTGTGGTTGCCCTCAGGGGGCCGGGAGGGTGTGGCCAGAGTGGATGCGGCCTACTGGGTGGGCGTGGATGGAATGGGTGTGGCCTACTGGGTGGGCATGGCCAGCTCTACATCGTTCGCGTCAAGGGTGCCTGGTCAGGTGTGGGACAGATCTGAGGGTCTCTGGCAGAAGGGGCTGGGACCAAGGCATGGTCCATTTCTTCGTTCCTCACAAAGGGTGACACCTCCCCAGCATGCACCCAGGGGGCGGGGCCGACACGGCAGGGGCTGGTTCCTCGCTGTTTCTAGACGGCCTTGTGGAACTAAGACTAAATGCATTTCAGCATAGATGGCCACCACAAAATTGTACATTGGCTCCCGGCCGGCCTGGATAGGGCCAAGGCAGCAGGGGCCGTTCTCTCACTGTTTCCAGGATGGCTTCGCGGGCCACATGAAACCACTTCGCAGGCCGCATCTGGCCCCCGGGCCTTGTGTTTGACATGTCTGTTCTAAAGGCTAGAAATCTTTCTACTCTTCAGAAGGATGATGTTCACTAGCTTTCCAATGCTCTTTTGTGTGCGGAAAAGAACGCCTCTGCAGATTTTTCAAGTTTCAAGACAATCTATGCACAAATTCAATATATGTGTCTATATAGAGGACATAAGAAATCTTAGGAAATGGAAGGACTGAACAGTGTTTCATATGTTAGAAGGCAACGATAGCAACATAGATGTGTTTAGAAAACCAATTAAGAGCTTTTTAGGAGTAGGAGGAAACTATAAGATAAAAGCAAAACATGAAAGTTAACTACAGATTTCTACTTTATGGTACCTTGCCTAGGAAACCTTTTACATATACAGTGCTGGTAACTGATGTAACAGAGCAAAGCAACCTGTATGTATTTATTCAGAAGGAAGACTTATTATCCTTGGTTCAAATCAGCAGGCACAAAAATTGCTGGCCAAGATCTGAAACAGCACATTCAAAAGCAGAATAAATATTCAAATTTTAAAAGACATTTTAAAAGATGGGGCCAACATGATATAAGGAAATGCTTGCAAATGTGGCTAACTCAGAGCAGTCAGACTTACTTTTTAGACTTCTCATCCCTTCGGATCTTGGCATCGGCTTTGGCGCTTTTTAGTTCTCTCTTGGCATCGGCCAACTGTTCCTTCTTGGCATCAATCTAGATCATGCAAAGAGATAAATCATAGTATAGATATGGGAAGAATTGCTATTGAAAAGCTGAAACATTCGGACAACTATTTTTTTTAAAGACGCTGTACTTTAAGCTTTCATAACACAATATCTAGAAGGAAATAAAACTCTCAAGAATACGTTTTCTATCTCATGAATAGTAAAGTCCAATATTTATTTACTTTTAAATTTTAAAAATATATTTGTAGAAGAGCAGAATTAATAGCTGCTTACAGTACCCTAAAGTGGATCAGCTATGGTTTTTCACAGGCAGAAACGGTAATGGTTTTGTTTGCAATGTATCTAGATTTTATAATAGTGAGAAGTGGGGCCAAGATTGCAATAGGCTTATATAGGTCCACTACAGGAGAAAACATGGATAGCAAGATTTTAAGTCTGTGATGCTCGTTAAACTAGATAATTGTTTTAATAGTTAAGGTGCCAGGCTAGAAACCAGGAGATTGTTAAGTTTCTAGTCTTGCCTTAGGCATGAAAGGAGGCTGGGTGACTTTGGGCTGCTCTCTCTCTTAGCCCACAATGTCAGGCTCTGGCAACAAGTTGATCGATCAATTTCTATCAAACAATGAATCAACATTCAGTTGATCTAAAAAAAGCAGACATTGCACTTGCTAAAATATTTAAGAAAAAAAAAAGAATATTATCATCAGCTACCAAGGTGTCCCAGTATACATTAAAACAGTTAAAATAGCAATTAAAATGGTCAGGTAAACAATAAAATTAATAATTAAAACGATTAAACCTCATACAAAAATATGTGTTTTAAATGGCTCTTTTAAAAAGCTAATGAGGATATTAAGTCCCTTAACTTTCCTGCAGTGCATTCCAAAGAGCTGAAGCAGCAACTCCCCCCGCCCCCCCCCAAAGACTAGTCTCAGGTCACTGCTAGACAAGCTCACAACTGTAAGTGAATATCTTCAAATGATATCAATAAACATGGAGGCATCCTCTCAGATAGCCTGGATCTAAGCTATTTCTGGCATTAAAGGTAATGACCAGCAGTCTACATTTTAACCAGAAACAAACTGACAGTGCAGCACTTTATTATCAGTTCAGGCATCAGTATAACAGTCTCTTTGCATTCTTCCCAAGATAACCTGACTACTAAGTTCTGCACCAAACACAAGGGTAACCCACACGGAATACATTATTTAAGATAAGTTGGACTACCAGCACTTCCACCACAGTTTTAAAGTCATCATCCCCCAGTCAAGAATATAGTTGATGTATCAACTAAATCTGCTAAAAGGTACCAGTGGCCATTGCCTTAATCTGGGAAACTAGATATGAATCCAGAGGCACCATGAACTGTCCTCCTTCCAGGCAGACCAAGCAAATTTATCACCTCCCTGGAATTATGGCCCCTAACAATGAGCATCTCCCTCTGGTCTTAATCAGACAAGAGAACAGAACAAAGTTCTACAGATTCAACCTTGAAAAAAAAAAGGCAGGTTTCTAAATAGCAATAGCACTTAGGCTTATGTACTGCTTCACAGTGGGGTTTACAGCACTCTCTAAGCAGTTCACAGAGTCAGAATATTTCCTCCAGCAATCTGGGTCCTCATTTTTACTGACTTCAGAAGGATGAAAGGCTGAGTCAACCTTGAGCCTGTCAGGATCGAAGGAATCAAACTCCTGGCAATGTGGACAGAGTTAGCCTGCAATACTGAATTCTAATCACTGCACCGCTATGGTTTAAATACTAAATTTAAGGCACTTATATACTTTTTAGAATTAAAAGACTTTGGAGGCCATCAAAATCTAATATTATCATACAGGATAAATAATTCTGATTGTAGCGACTCTGAAAGATGGCTTTTTAGTTTCTGCTTAAATAATTATAGTAGAAAAGAACTAATCCTCCAGAGAAGCACCAATACACTATCAAACAGCTGTTACCATTTCCTCCCCACTTCAAAATGACAATTTTCTTAAAATGTCAACTTATTAGTTCCAGTTTCGCCCCCTGGAGCTACAGAGCAAAAACTGCTCCATATGTTACATGATAACTGAGTACCTCAAACTGCTCCTGAGGGTGGTGATTTTTTTTGTTAAGTGGCATATAATGATTTCACAAGGGCGTGGTCAATAAATTAGTGAAAACTGTAACATTTATAATTATATATAATAATTGCACACGTGCACGCACACACACACATATGTAAATAATTAACTGCTCTTCCCTGACCCAGAATACCTCTTACATCTAAAACGACAAGGTCCTGAGAACTAAATGCATTTTCTTTATATTGTTATTGCTATCACAAATTCACTCACTGCTCAATGAATGTCTCATGCTGGTTCCACACAGGTTGGTAGATTTCTTTTTTTAATTTCCCAGTCTAGGGCTGAAAGAGAGTAACTAGCCCAAAGTCATCAGGGCTGGCTTCCAGGCTTGAAAGAGGACTGAGTCTTCCTGCTTCTAATTCAGCACCTTAACCACTACACATATTATTTATGTAAATCTAATTTATTTTGCTTTTACTAGATATCGCTTATTACTGTTTTTCAGAGTTAAAAGTTACAGACACAGAGAAACACAGATCTTAAGATGGCTTAATATGATGAGATTGCACAGAAAGAAGGTATTTCTGTAATAAAACCAAATAGAATACATGGGAAGTCTGTAAAAAAAAAAAGCCCCAAACATTTGTGTAGCACTTTGAGAAGTACGACAAGAAAGAGAGTTAACAGAAATTAATTAATCTCAGTATATCTTTTAACTAAAAATGTAGCACTCAAATTACCTTGGTCTGTAAATTCATCATGGATTTTTCAAAGGTTTTTGGAGGTGCCCTCTGGTGGTTGCAAAGAATAGCAACAGCTCTGTTGGCACGGTTGTAAGACAGGATCTTTGCTGCGATGTTATCATCCGCTGGAAGAGTTCAAAAGAAACACATTTCTTTCCACATAGCAAGATTAACATTTATGAAAAGCTAACTTCCAACAACTGAAAAAGAATGTCAGAGAGTCTTGAGCACATATAGCAGTTGAGTCCCTAAATTATGAAGGCCAGAGGTTACTTTATGCAGTCTATATCTTTAGTAACTACTCTTAAAGTGAAGTGTGTATTGCAATTAATAATAATAAAGTTGGAAGGGACCTTGGAGGTCATCTAGTCCAACCCCCTGCTCAGCAGGAAACCCTATACCATTTCAGACAAATTGCTGTCCAATCTCTTCTTAAAAACTTCCAGTGTTGGAGCATTCACAGCTTCTGGAGGCAGGTTGTTCCACTGATTAATTGTTCTGTCAGGAAATTTCTCCTTAGTTCTAGGTTGCTTCTCTCTTTGGTTAGTTTCCATCCATAGCTTCTTGTCCTGCCTTCAGGCGCTTTGGACTCCCTCCTTTGTGGCAACCCCTGAGATATTGGAACACTGCTATCATGTCCCCCCTCGTCCTTCTCTTCATTAAACTAGACATACCCAATTCCAGCAACCGTTCCTTATATGTTTTAGCCTCCAGAGCTCTAATCATCTTTGTTGCTCTTCTCTGTACTCTTTCTAGAGTCTCAACATCTTTTTTACATTGTGGTGACCAAAACTGGATGCAGTATTCCAAGTGTGCTCTTACCAAGGCATTGTAAAGTGGTATTAACACTTCACGTGGTCTTGACTCTATCCCTCTGCAGCCTAGACTGTGTTGGCTTTTTTGGCAGCTGCAGCACACTGCTGGCTCATATTTAAGTGATTGTCCACTAGGACTCCAAGATCCCTGTCACAGTTACTACTACTGAGCAAGGTACCACCTATACTATACCTGTACATTTGGTTTTTCTTGCCTAAATGTAGTTTTCTGAAATCAGAACTGTTTCAATTCTGATTAACATAGAAAAGATGAGACAGGCTGTTTCAAAGGTACTTACAGGTTGTGAGTTCCTTCAGTTGTTGCTGTAGCGTAATAGAGGCGTTATATGTTCGGAATACCTTAGCTGTCAGCCCTTCCATTAGATCTTGAAGATGCTTATTTAAAATGCTGGTCTAAAAGATGGAGGGGAAAAGAGGAAAAATTATATACCAATTCAACAAATGGTAAAGAATATAAATAAATTTAACTGGGAAGTGCAAATCATAGAAACAGTAACTGTACCCCAATCAAGAGGAGCTATAAAGTTGAGACATTTTGTACAATGGCCTGTACAATGATCCAAATATTTTCATTAATTTATTCTTATTCAACCTGGCCCTAAAACCAATTCAAATAATGAGAATTGCAGACCTAAAAGTACTCTACTTTTGCTTCCTTTTTACTCAGTTGGATAATTGCTGATGTCTGTATGATATTAACATGATGGCTATTAAAAGGATGGTAGACATAAATGAAATACACGACAGCCATAGCAATATTTCTTTATTTTTTAAAGGAAGAGTAAACAAACAAAAGTTCTCTATACTTCTGCATCTTCTATTTTAGTATTTAAATGCATTATAAAACAATTCAAAGGGTATAAATGCTATATTTTTTCATTATTTGAAAGATCTTTAAAGGAGTTAATTAAAACAGTAATTTTTCTTGAGTAAAACAAATCCCAAATTAAATAACAATGCAAGTATTGAATAAACAGTATCCACACATTCTCATTCCATTTCTAAAGGCTGTATAACATTTTTAACAAAACTTAATTCTTTGCAAAAAAAAATATTGAAAATGCAAATCTCTAGAAAGCTAAAAATAGAAACAACTGATGAAAATACAAGTCTTACTCTCTCCCCAATATTCCAATATACAGTAGTGGCCAAAATTGTGGAAACCTTTTGGGAAAAGTGTACAGTAGAAATGCCACCTTTGGTTAAGTTTCCACCAATTTTTCTTCTAATTTCTTTATAACTGTAACCGTGTTCACTTAATAATATTATTTTACATCACTTTCTGGGCAACCAGTCAACTCTTTGTACCATTACTTTAATTTTATTATGTTTCACAAGCTCACTAAATGAAAGAACACAAAAAACCCCAACCAACTTGATAGCGATCACATAACACACTGACAAATGTCCTCCTCTCAGCTTCGATACATGACATCAATAACTGAATCCTACTGTGGTCTGATTGGCTCATTGCCAAAACAAGATGACACTTGATTGGCTCTCTAAACACTCACGCTCATTGGCTACAATCAGGTGAAGGAAAGCTACCTGAAATGAACCTAAGCAAGTTGTGCTTCCTTTTTCTGGTTATTTGGCTATAACTTTTCATAGAATACAGTACAGAAAATTGAACAAACTTTGTTGCATTACATTCTTGATTAAATTATCTTTCCATTGATATATAATTTTATGGTATTACTCCCCCCCCCCCAAAAAGTGGTGTTTTTAGCCAACAAACCTCAAAAATATACTTTTCCCAAAAGGTTTCCATAATTTTGGCTACTACTGTATGTATACACATGAAAGTATGTATACACACACATATATAAACAGCATAGCTTGATTACCAATATAATTATTCAAAATATTTGTGCTAAAGGAGGTACTCTTAACACAATAAATGGTGTCTACATTTGATTTTTTACACACACATAGACACAGCGTGCACAATTACTAGGTGAGTATTTTGACCATATCATCTTTTTTATACATATTTTCCACCTCCAAGCTGTATAAACTTGAATGCTTAGTGGATATAAGCGTATCAGGTGATGTGTATTTGTATAATGAGGGAGGGAGTGATTTGTATAATGAGGGAGGGTGTCGCTTAAAAAGATCAACACCCTATATCAAGGTGTGCGTAATTATTAGGCAGCTTCTTCTCCTCAGGCAAAATGGGCCTAAAGAGATTTAACTGATTCTGAAAAGTCAAAAATCGTAAAAAGTCTTTCAGAGGGATGCAACACTCTTAAAATTGCTAAGATATTGGGGTGTGATCACAGAATCATCAAACACTTTGTTGCAAATAGTCAACAGGGTTGCAAGAAACGTGTTGAGAAAAAAAAGACACACATTAATTGCCAAGGATTTGAGAAGAATGAAACATGAAGCTACCAGGAACTCATTATCCTCCAGTGCTGTCATATTCCAGAACTGCAACCTACCTGGAGTGCCCAGAAGTACAAGGTGTTCACTGCTTACAGACATGGCCAAGGTAAAGAAGGCTGAAACTCGACCATCACTGAACAAGACACATAAGTTGAAACGGCAAGAAGGGGCCAAAAAATATCTGAAGACAGATTTTTCAAAAGTTTTATGGACTGATGAGATGAGAGTGATTCTTGATGGACCAGATGGATGGGCCTGTGGCTGGATCAGTAACGGGCACAGAGCTCCACTTCGACTCAGATGCCAGCAAGTTGGAGATGGGGTACTGGTACGGGCTGGTATTATTATAGATGAGCTAGTTGGACCTTTTTGGATTGAAGATGGACTCAAAATCAACTTCCAAACCTACTACCAGTTTTTAGAAGACACTTTCTTCAAGCAGTGGTATAGGAAAACGTCTGCATCTTTTAAGAAGACCATGATTTTTATGCAGGACAATGCTCCATCGCATGCATCGAAGTACTCCACTGCATGGCTAGCCAGTAAAGGCCTTAAAGATGAAAGAATAATGACATGGTCCCCTTCCTCACCTGACCTAAACCCTATTGAGAACTTGTGGGCCATTCTTAAATGGGAGATTTACGGTGAAGGAAAACAGTACACCTCTCTGCACAAAATGTTGTCAACAGATCAAGAAACTGACAGACTCCATGAATGGAAGGCTTATGACTGTTATTGAAAAGAAGGGTGGCTATATTGGCCACTGATATTTTTTTTTTGAAATGTCAAAAATGTTTATTTGTTCATTTTGAGTTGTTTATTATTCTCAATTTAACAGATACAAATAAAAGAGTGAGATGGGCAAATTTTCATTTTTCATTTAGTTGCATAATTCTGCACACATAGATATTCTCCTAAGAAAGCCAAAACCTCACTTTTACTTTCTTAAATATTTATTTCATTTTGGATTGACTGAGAGCACTGTAGTTGTTCAATAAGAAAACTAATCCTCTAAAATACAATTTGCCTAATAAGTGTGCACACAGTGTATATAGTGCTTTTTTCACATGCTATTTTTTTCTGCCAGTGCAAATTACCTCTATAGTCCTTTGTGATCTCTGAGCTTAGTTGTTTTCTTGCACACATTTCATTATCAAACTAGGTAACATCATCAGTGTTAGTGTTGATGTTACCTAGTTTGGAAAGGAAATATCTGTATGAAAATATCAAACTCAGAAAACACCAAGGAACCCACAGTTCAACCTGTGAGTTACAAATATTCTCTTCTAAATTACCTGTACTTTAGAATATCATAGATCCAATGACAGATGTGCTTTCATTTGCCAGATTTGTAAAATCAAAATTTGGCTGCTACCAATATGCTGCTAATGTATTCTAGGACAGCTCTGTATCCTTTACTAAATGAAAAATTACATCTTTTAAAAGCTTTTTTAAATTCTACCTTTATTATTTTTTATAAATAATTCAAAGTGAACATATTACTCCTTCCTCCTCTTATTTTCCCCACACCAACAACCCTGTGAATTGAATTGAGCTGAAAGAGAGTGACTGGCCTAAAGTCACCAGCCGGCTTTCATGCCTAAGGCGAGACTAAAACTCGTAGTCTCCTAGTTTCTAGCACGGTGCCTTAAACACTAGATCAAAATGGCTCTCTTTCATTCCAAGCCATACCAGAACAACCAATAGGCATTAATTTCACAAAAGGAAATTTAAGAAACATCCTTTCAAGCTTATAGTAGTTCATACAGCTTTCATATGTAAAGAAAAGCAGATACTCACATTAAGCCTATCAAATAAATCATCTTCTGGCTGCTTATTCTCCATGAATAACTGAAGATTCTTAAATACCTGAAAAGTAATCACAAAGGACAGAAACATGAAGCAAAGACACAAGAGATTCTGCTGGCATGACATGACACTATCCTCACTATATTACCTATACCATATTAATATAGTTGCTGGACACACACAGTTTGCTAAGCAATGACATGGACTGTTTGGTTTTGGCTGCAAGTGCAAACTTAGGTACTGAAGTTTGTAAATCAAGATATATGGCCTACATAATGTATATAACCAATCATGGCTATGCAAACCATAATCAGATATGTGACATCAGATTTTGAGTCCCTTTATCTGCAGTGTGCTAGTTATGTTGGTAATATGTAACAAAAGTTAGCCGGCTATTATTTCACTATTAATAAATTTCCCAATTCACAACAAATAAAGAGGGAGTAATCATAAGGAATATAAGAGTTTAAATTAAAAATTTAAAAATACTAAAGGTAGGAATATTGAAGGTCAGTGATTTTGACTGCAAATAATTATTATCCATGCTCAACAGAAAAATGTGATTTTATTATCAGCATTTGATGGAGTCCAAGCACAGCAAAGTGATTCTGCCTCTGTCACTTTTTGAGGATTTCCAAAAACTATAGCACTGTGCATGCTGAACCTGATGAAATATTGACCCAATCAAGTGGAATAAATACTTGAAGACCAACCAAAAAATAAAGGAGATTTAAAAGATAAAGTTACCCAGTCTGTGGATTTCTTTAGAAGAATCCCTTACCCTTTTCTCAACAGGTACTTTGTTATAGTATCTTATGGAGTCTTTTCCAGGGAAATCAAATTCTACTACATATTCCTGACCATCTAATTCTGGATGCAAATTAATATGTTCCACACGGAGGGAGCAACAGCCCACTGTGTCAGCAGTCTCTCCTTCTTCTTTCTCATTGCCAGCTCTCAGAGCAAGCTACAAATATTGAATAGTGAGACAGAAAAAGAGGTCAGTTTAAACAGACGAAAACATTTTAATCATGTAACTCACTGATCAGCAGGAGGCTATTTCACTAAGCTAAGAAGCTATTTATTTTAACTTTCAGAGTGAGATTTAAGGTATCTGCAAATTCATTAGAAGGATTACACTAATTAAAAGTTATGCATATTTAGATTACTTGGATCCATGAGCACATTAGATAAACTGACATGGAAACTGATGTAAATAAGATAAGCACAACATAGAGTTACTAGCACAGATATTTCTACTGTTTTTCATTCTTTAGTTACAGACTGTTACTGCAGAATATTCTATACACCTCTGATCCTGCAAAACAAAAAGCCAAATTATTTGTGTGGGTACATTCTAGTAAAGCAGGTAGAGCTTTATCTGAACAGTTGATCTGTCAGATGAGGTCGCCTATCCCAGCTTTACAAGATAATAATTTTTGTCTATTTAAATTCCTTCCTGTCATTTTTCAAGGATTTCTCCAGTACCTGTTATATCTTGTTTATGCCAAAGTTGTACAAAGTTGGATTCAGGAGTTTATTTATACCAAAAAGAATCTGTAAAAGTCAGAATCTCACTTTGTCAATGAAGTACAATGCCACAGCCCTTTGCCGCACTTTCATCTCTTTGGATTTCCAGTCTTCTCGATATTGATTTCGAATCCTATCAACGCACTTCTTTAATCTCCGAGCTACCTCGTATTTCTGCCAGTCTTTCTCACCCTGCCAAGAAAATCACAGGGAACGTTTTCATTTATTTTGATCAGAAAGAACTTAATTTTTGATTGATACTTTGATTTCAGAAGGGAAAAGCAGTTTAAAAAGATACAATAATTTATCTTTTTTTAAAAAAGTCTGGTTTGGATCTTCATAATGCAATATATCTTTCCCAAAAGCGTATTAGTCATGGCAGAAATAGTCTAGACACAAAATGGTACCTTGATTCTAGAGCTGGGATTCAACATGATGTACTTAATAGATCCTTGAATATTCTCAGTCCATGATACCAGCCAGGTTACTTTATTATCATGCCGAATCTCTTTCCATTTATGTCCAGGAGGAGGAGGAGGGACTTTAGAATTCCTAAGCAGGAAAAACACAAATATATTTCAAAACAGGAAAATTCACAAGGAAGCTATAGAATATCAGCAAGCAAATTTTATTGTTCAGCAAGATTCAGGCAATGAACAGTGGCATCATAACAACTACTACAGACACTATGATACACTATTTCACGTTATTTTATTTATATCCCACTTTTATTATTTTTATCAGTAACTCAAGGGGGCAAACATCTCTAATACTCCCTATTTTTCCCACAACCACTATCCTGTGAAGTGGCTGGGCTGACAGTGACTGGCCCAAAGTCACCTAGATGGCTTTAATACCTGAGGGGGCTTCTTCAGCTCTGACTGGATGGTAGGGGAATGGGAAAATTCCCACACCATCCAGTCAGAGGTGAAGAAGTTTCTTGGATGAGAAGCGAAACGTCTTCAACAAAAAACAAGAAAGTCCAGTCGCCTCGTGAAAAAGCGTCTTTGGGATAACTATGACCTAGAAGACTGAGAATCTCCATAGACACTAAGTGGGCATTGAAACCCATAGTCTCTTGGTTTCCAGCCTGGTGCCTTAACCATTAGACCAAACTGGCTTATTATTATGATTAGTCACACAGTTGGAGTTTTTATAGAGTTCTTCCCAAAGACCTAGCAGATGGGCAGATATTATCTGATTATTAATATCATTATTATTATGAGTATTTCATTCAATTTGTTTGGTTGCCGCTTGCAACTTTGGATGAATTAACATCCAGTAATTGTGGACTTTAATGCCTAATAATCAGACAAGCTTGAACATGTGAATCCCAATTTTATACATTCATGAATAGATTTATAAATGAGAATTTATTCTGAGCAAAACTGACAGGCTGGGCTTATAAATAGCACAAAGCCAGTAATGTGGTAAATCAGGTCATTATAACTTATTCAACAATATGAACTTTGCCAATAAGCCACAATTTTAAGTAAATTAGCACAACTTTATGGCCAATTTCTACAAAATTAGTCTAACTGGTTTCTCTGACTGCAGAGGAATTCGTTTTCTCCAAGGCAGCACAAAAGCCAATCAAAAATAAGAGGGATAGACCACGCTCTCCTTCTTTGCCTGCCCGTCATTATTTGCCTCAATAAGATTGAATTGTAAATTTAAAAAACCCTCAGATGATAAATAGTTCATTGCAGTATAAAGTTTTGAAGACAGTAAATCAAATGTTGAAAATTCAGGCTCACAATGACTTTGTCCTGATACCTCTCATTTTGCTCCATATCCAACACTATCCATTCCTATCCTCCCACTCTTTAAATTTGTTAAATTATGGGTAAAATGCTGCTCCTCAGACATAAACCTACTAATGATTGTTGAGTTTTTCTGCAATGGGTCCTGGCTGCAATGGGTCTTAGCTACATTAGGTCTTGAAACAAAGAGTTTCCAGCAGATCAAACCCTGCCAGTATCTTGAGTATGAAAAAAATCCCATTTTTATACTAAACCAGAAACTTCATTTGGGCTTGTCATGCTATCTACATGGCTTATGAAAAATATCTATCCTAGGAAAATATGACTGGCTCCCACTTCCCCAGTATTTAGGAAGAAGGCAAAACTATGTCTCTTTTGACCTGCTATTATACTAATTTTGTCTTGATTTTAGTGCTTATTTTAACTGTATGGATTTTGTTGTTTTTATTTTTTATATTTTATAAGCTATCAAGAGTGTATATAGCAGCAGAAAGGCAGTTTGCATATTAGAAAAGACTGCCTATGTGTCCCAACATAAGCTGATCTGAATTTTCTACAGAAAAAATAAGATGTAAATATAACCACTTCCAGTTGACCTGAATATGAGTTAACTTTAACACTTCACACTACATTAAAGAAAAACATACATACATACTAATGGCATGATATTGTTTTATGTATTTTGAACAATTGGCATTATCTGATAAAATGCACTGGTTTTCCTCTTGTAGGAGAGGTTATGGATAGAACCAACTTGAGAGAGATGCTATCTGAGTGAAAAGCTTGTATTTAACTGCTGTTCTCTCTAATCAGAACTCTTTCCTAGAAATATGCAGGATCTCCCATCCTCACTTGCTACAATTGATGATGATGTCTTCACCGTAATAAGCAGCGAAGTCGTACGGGTAAAACCCTACCAATGGTGCGGGAGACTTCTCTGGACCTCCGAGTTAGAATTTCAACCGTTAAGAAAGGAATACCAATAGGTACTATGTTTTTGGTATAAGAAAATTATTGGCGAGTAAGAGAAGAAATTAAAAGATCTCTCTGTGTATGTGTTTCTATTTTTTTACATTGTTATCCAAAGCTGCTATATTAAGGTGACCAACTTTTTTACAATGAAAAGGAGGACACAAATAAATTGAAGAAAAAAATATTGTAAATAAAATAAACATTTTATTCATTGCAACAATAATACAGACAACTTGCATGTGCAAAGTTTGCCAGCCGGGTGTTTTGGCACGCTCAGCAGCAATTCCTATTGGCTTTCGAAAGCCAATAGTGGGAGTAGCACAGCTCATACAAAAGTTGAAAAAAAGACCCATCAAAAAAAGGTTCTGGGTGTTCTATGAGGGGAAAAAAAGCCCTTCAGATTAGTCTTCAAATATTGAAAAGGAGGACATGAAGGAGGACACTTTTTGAGGGAGGACAGATCTTACAAAAGGAGGACTGTCCTCCCTAAAGGAGGACGGTTGGTCACCTTAGCTATATCAATTATTCAGATCAAATAAATTAATTAGCTGTTGTGTTTAGCAGGTTTCCAGGCACAGGATTCTTAGTGCAAGTGCAGTACAAGAAAATAGCTACTGTATGCCATTTGGTCTATGCATCATAAAAAGGGCTTGAAAGTTTATCAGCAAGATCATCTGAGTGCCTTATAACCATAGTATGTACACTTACCTCAAGAAATTGCATACAGATGCACCAATAAGTGAATCCCATTTAGTTCAGTGGGTTTATTCAGATAGGTAGCTCATAGTGTGCCCTCATATACTAATCTAGGGCTAAACCTAAATGAACATAAATTTAGTTAGTAGATTCTATTTAAAAGGAGTGAGAGGGGTCAAAAGTCCGAAGGAACAAGTTTTGTTCTTCACGACACATACCACATAATAACCACCAAGACTTTTTTCACAAGTTTGATGTCCATTTTTGGGTATAGGGTACAACAATAGGACTGACTGGGAGGAATTATAGGGTCTAAAATAAGGATTGGTCTATTAGATACTATCAATCATCAATCTGCAAGATTGCTTATCCTTTTGTATATAATACGGAACCAGTTATTTCAGACCTTTTTTTTTAAACAAAGAGAAATAAATAGGAATGTAAGACAATGGCCTAGTTCAGAGATATCAAGTAATGGGTGTTACAAGATAGCAGTTTAGGCTGATATATTTTCCCCATCAGATTCCACTTTGCCATATCCTTCCCTTTCTATGATCATGTAGCAAGAGAATGAAAGGATTTTGCTTCCATTTTTTAAAGTATCATTTTATGTACTGCCTGTCTTGCAATCATAATTCTGGACAGCAAATACTGGATAAAAATGAACAGAACAAAAAAAATAAATACCAAAAAACATCAACATAATACTGCAGTAGCACGAGACTAAATTCAACTCCCATAAAGTCAGAAAAAAACTACAATGATGGGCTTATCCAATTGACAGGCTCTATACCTGGGGGAACACCCAGATCTTCAAGGATTTATGAAATGCTCACAAGGTAAGGGCCAAATGAATCTCAGGGGATATGTTATTCCAAAGGGCAGATGCTGCTAAAGAGAAGGCCTACCTCCTGGATCTTCCTAGATGGCACTGCTTAACAGATAGTCCAAAAGCATTCCTACCCTTTCCAGATCTAATGGGCTATGCAGAAATAATTGGGGAAAGGTAGTCTTATAAATAACCTAAACCAATGACACGAATGGCTTTGTAAGTTATAAAAAAGCACCTTCAAGTGCATCCAGAAGCCTATTGAGTGCCGGGTGATTCATGGAATGATAACATAGGCATATTGTAGTATACCTATTGTGGTATGGCTGTGCCACCACATTCTAGCCAAGTGGTCTTTAAGGACAGCTCCATGTATAGCACATTATAGTAAGGCATAAGCAATGTAATGTCTTCTGGTCCAAAACAAGTCACAAAACCAATATGTACAAAATCCTTTGGGACCATAATTACCATCTATTCCTTAAACAAGATCTGTGAATCTAGGACAACCCCTAAATTGTGCATGATTTCTGACTGGCGTAGTGCAGCCCCACTAAGAACTAAGTATAATGCAAATAAAGATACTGTAAAATCTGATATACTGAGAACATGCAATGTAGCTGGAGAGCATTCCAATTATGACTTCTATTTTTCAAGAATAACATTTTTAGAGCCTAATCCTAAATAAAGATACCTGCTTTTCATCCTTGGTCATTTGCTTTCTAGCTTCTGTTTGGGCCTTGAAATACTGACTCATATGACCAAAGTCACATTTGCTGAGGCTGGTGATAATTCCCTTTTCTTCTGGAGTCATTTCCTGCAAGAAGAAAAACAGAATAAAGTATTATTAGTTAAATGAGATAAATAAAATAAAATAAATGAATGTAGTTGTTTATTATATTTATATCCTGTCTTTCCTCCATGAGCTAGGCTTTGACTTGAATGTCAAAGTAGAAGTAGGCATATAGTAACAAAAATCAGCATCTCTTTGGACATTTCTAGAAATCATGTTAATTATAATAGCAAAGACTTTTTAAGAAAGCTAACAAGAAACAATGTTGCTGTTAGTAACAAGCACCTAGCTTCCTTCTAAATTGAACTACACTACTATAAGGCATGAGAAAGCAGTGTTTTAGCTTTTATAAATTTAGGTTTTATAACCATATAAATGAAACTGGATTCCATGCTTTAAGGTTCTATTAGAGCAGAATTCCCCAACCTTTCCAGCTTTGTGGACTGGTGGGGGGGGAGATGGTTCGGTGTGAATGGTGGGCAAATGGAGTACGTGTGCATGCCCACTGCTCGCAGAAGTGCGTATGCGCATGTGCGCATACTCGCCCACCACTTCCATGGCCTGGTTCCAAACAGTTCAAGGACCGGTAATAGGCTGCAGCCAAGGGGTTGGGGACCCCTGCATTAGAGAGAAGTTTTCATCTACCAAGACAGAGATGTATGTAGATGTTCATATTTTTAAAAGATGAAGAAGCCCACCACAAACTATTTTCCCATACCTTTCTCCAGTCTTTAAAGAAGTTTTTCCTGAAGATATCCTTTGTAGTGTACTCATGATCAAGCATTTTTGCAAAGAAAGTTGCAACCTCTTCTGCTTTGGGACTGAGTTTCATAACTTTACCTGAACAAAGAAAACTATGCATGAAATAACAAGGCAACATTCTACAGATATTCAATCTTCCAGCTACTCTTGGAAAAGATCCAGAGGCACACTTACCAGCAGATATACAGTGCAAGCCAGAATAACCACCCTGCAAACAAGCTATTTTGTTTCAAAGGAAAATGACAAATGTCTTCAGTTTTATTCCCAATTCTATAATGGACAGTGTGACCTCAGAATGGGCCACTAGATAGACAGGTCCAGCTGAGAAGTAGAGAAAACATCTTGTGAGGTGATCTGGGATTGATTTGAAGTGTACAGAATTCTTTGGGAGATTAGATTAGGTGAAAGCCAGCAAGTGGCATTCGAGATGCGTTGAAAGTAATAGTTAATGCATTCTTGGAAACGGCGTTGGTTCCACTGCCCATGAAAGAGAAGCCGTCCCTTGGCCAAGCTATACTGGATAATTATTGATCTTCAACCTTCCTTTTTTTTTTTTTTAAACAGAGGCTATTGAGAAGATAACTGTAATGGAAAGTGTGAATGACCTTGGGGAGAAGAGGAGAAGAGATGCTGCCTAGGAAACAATCAGATGAGAGAGTCAACCCAGTGGGTTGACAGTCAGAGAAAGAAATTTAGGAGGGACCCGCCATAACAAATCAAGCAATTAAAAGTGGCAGTGGGAAGTTTGTATTTTCAGATTTGCAAGACTGATGTCAGCTCTCCCAGGTAAACCAGACAAGAGACACAAATAGATGAATTAATTCTACTTTATTGTAAGGCTACATTAACAGAATTGTGCAAGGCTGAAAGTGCAAACTTCCCACCTCCATTCTTAACTGCTTGATACCACTTGTGTTCTTGGTTCTTAGTTTTTTTTTTCTAATTCTTGTTAATTTTAATCTTTTTATATTTATTATAACTGTAAGCATTGTAAGCAGCCCAGTCACTCTGGATAGTGAGATGGGTGTCATATAAATGTAATAAATAAAAAATAAATAATGAAAAATACAATCCAAAACATGAGAAATTTTGATTTTTACTATTCTGGATTACCAGAATGCTTTTATTCCAGAAAAAACTTGGAGTAAAAAATGGGCTGCAGATCCATAACTACTTTAGAGCATCACACTGGATTAAGGGTGTGACAAATATTGGTATTTCTAAATTCCCCAGCGAAGGACTTGTTGTTAAAGGGCTGTCTTCCTCACATTTCAGCAATTTGTTACTGACCCATTTCCTCTTCATTCAAGAATATAATAGAAGCTCAACATGAAATCATAGATATGTGGAAAGGTAGCTTCTTCCACAGCTAAAAGTAAGCAATTGTTGCACTAATACATAGTACATCTGATGTCTCTTTTTCCTACCCAATATGCCTAACACAGATTCAGGCTGCATAATTCGTCAGCATTCCACAGCACAGCACAGCAAAACAAATACTTTAGGTCATTTTAAAATATGTGATTCTTGAAAAATCCAGTTACAAGTATAGTACTTCTACTTGTGTAATTAAGACACAGGGAAAAAGCAAACATTACGTCCTTTTGGGTATGTTTGGCAGGAGGAAGGAAGAATTTCCTCTGTTTTAAGAACATTAGTCATACTAGGGGAAGCAGCTGAGAGTTTTCACACGTTTTATCAAAATGCCTCACAACCTAAGGTATTTTTCAAATGAATTCAAAGAAGATTTAGTAACATAGCAGCGACTGTCATTATATATGTTGCTCTCTATTATAAATACTGAACTCTGAAGGACAGAAAAGTGATGGTATGTTTTTTTTTTTCAAACATACATAAATATAGTCAGGAAAAAAGGAGGAGTCTTAGTATTTAAAAAGCAAGTGTCCATCCTTTCAGGCTACGTTATAAGCACACAGATATCAGTGTATGGAATATAAGGCAAATGCTAGCTCTGTTTTATTTATTTTCCCAGAAGTCTAAATATAAACATTTAAGAAGAAATAAAGTAACAGGACTAAAAGTATCTCCTTTTATCTCTCCTAAGAATCCTGCAAGGCCAGAAGCAAATGACCCAGTACAATAAAAATCTGTGGTAAAGGCAGAACTTTAACATAAAGGCAGAATTGGACTGTGATAAAACTATGACACACTTGCAAATTCAGGTACTACTTTGTCATTCAATAATCTTATTTATCCGTCCATCAACCTGTTTTATTTAGACCATCCAACTCCTAAACAACTCTGGATGGCTTACAAATAAAAAAGCAACATATAAAAGAAAATAACTGACTAGAAAAACAAATGCCAAATCAAACTAAACCAGAGCTCCGTAATTACCCTGCCTTCAGACCTAGGAGAACAATGTTAATTTAAGGTTTAAAAATATTATTTAATATCTCAAAAATAACAAACAAAATTACAATCATTAAAACACATCCATTTTCCTATAATTTAATTTGATCTTTGGTTGGAAATACATTTCTGTGTGTACAAGAACACTGTACCCAGCTTTCACCTCTGATAACAATATTGAACGTGCATATACATTAAAAACAGGTCAAAAGCTTTGTCCATGAACTACAATCGGACACAGGTAATACAAAACCTTGCCCATGAAGCAGTTGCAATTTTCAGATTCCCCTTCAGCAATTGAAAGAGAAAGGATTTATAGACCCTAAATTCTCAAATATTGAGGGGAAAAAAGTAGGGAGTAGTTAGTGTATTGAGCAAACAACGTCCTCCTGGATTCAGCATATTCATAGGGAATCATCTAGAAGACCACAATATTGTTCATATACCTCATACAAGGAAGTGTAAACACTTCCAAAAAGGAAACTTACTCCCTCTCAGTTAACATAGAATGCCTATGGCACTCCAATACGAGCTTCCCTTTTTAATAAATTTATTTATTTAGCAGCTGTCATCTATATCCCACTTGCAGAAGCAGAACGAGCACACAAACGGGTAGACTATGTTACTGAACAATCATCTGGAAAAGGCTTTGATAAACATACTAGTATATCTATCATGGCTCTAGAAACTCATGTTTGCTAGGGCCTACATGCAAAAAGCACAACCCACACTTTAAAACTCCTTTTAAGCATATAAAGAGACAGCAACTGAATGACAATTCTTCAAATCAAATGATAACTTATTAAAAATAACCATCTTGGTGATATCTTTTTATCAGTCTAAATGTCACCTATAGATTAAACCAAGTATAATTTGAAAAAAACCTTGCACTTTAATTGTTAATAAAATATTTATTTATTGGATTTATTTGTCACCCATCTCATAGCAAACAACTCAGGGCGGCTTCCAGCATTAAAACATTAAAATCCTAACAGATAAATACATTTAAAAGAATAAAAATAGAAATCCCAATCAAGGTAAAATATAGTTAGAAGATGGGGAGGGAGAAGAGGTGGGATTACCTCTTAATTCAACAATCACCTCGATTGTGATTGGAACTGGGAGCTTTATAATGCAGCAAGAGCATACTATACACTGTAATGTAGCCATAACAGTAAGTAATGATTAAAAACAGCTAAAAGAATTACTAAAATGCTGACAGTTTCAGAAGTAGCAATGTATGTTAGAAGCTACAATAAAAAGGATTTAATGAAGTAAATGGAAAATAAAGAAAATGCAAAAGACATTTGACTATTTCTTTCCTCTCTACCCACAATAACGTGATATATAAATTAACAATAGCAATAGCATTTAGGCTTATACAGTATATTGCCTTATAGTGCTTTACAGCAGGGCTTTTCAACCTTTTCACCGATTGTACGACTTTTAGGATATGGCAATATTTGAGTACCACCTATTGCCTAGCAAGGTGTCAAAACCTTGACCAAAAAAAAAAGGAAAAAAAAAGGAAAAAGTGATAAAGTACAGGTAGTCCTCAACTTACAACAGTTCACTTAGTGACTGTTCGAAGTTACAATGGCACTGAAAAAAGTTGCTTAGGACCATTTTTCACATTTATGACCATTGCAGCATCCCCAGGGTCATGTTATTTACATTTTCATGCTTGGCAACTGATTCATATTTATGACGGTTGCAGTGTCCCGGGGTCATGTGATCCCCTTTTGCAACCTTCTGACAAGCAAAGTCAATGGGGAAATCAGATTCACTTAACAACTGTGTTACTAATTTAACAACTGCAGTGTTTCATTTAACAAATGTGGCAAGAAAAGTTGTAAAATGGGGCAAATCTCATTTAACAAATTTCTCACCCCTTCTCCTTTTATATCCTCTCCTCTCTCTTCCCCTCCTTTTATATCCTCTCCTCACCCCCTTATCCTCTTATGTTAGGGGTATCGAACTTGATTTCATTGAGGGCCACATCAGCATTGTGGTTGCTGTCGGGGGGGGAGTGGGGCTGTGTGGCCAGCTCTATGTCACTCAGATCGGGGATCTGGGGGTCTCCGGTGGAGGGGGTTAGGGTTAGGCTCCTTCCCTCCCTCTTTCTCATTTGCATCTCCTTCGTTCTCTTCTCCCTTTCTCCTCACAGCTTCTCTCACAAAAAGCCTTTTCTTTTTCTCATGCATACGTCCCTCCAAAATCCTTCCCATTCTCATGCACACGTCCCTCCAAAATCCTTCCCATTCTCATGCACACATCCCTCCAAAATCTTTCCCATTCTCATGCATATGCCTCTCCAAAATCCTCCCCATTCTCACATACACGTCCCTCCAAAAGCCTTTCCCCTCTCTCTTTCTCTCTCACCACTTCTCTGACAAAAGCCCTTTCTCTTCTGTCTCTTTGGCTCATTTCCTCCCCCACTACTCTTGGCTGGGCTGGGCAGGGCTGGTACCACCTGCCAGTTGCCAATGTCCCATCAGTGGTATGCATATCACCGATTGAAAAGCCCTGCTTTACAGCACTCTTTGGGCAGTTTACAATGCAGAAGCATTATTTTGCATATTGCCCCCAACAATCTGGGTCTTCATTTTACTGACCAGCAAAACTATTACCATTTCTGTCCATTTCTGAAAACTCATAGCTTATCCAGTCTTTAGGATGCTGTAAAAAGCTTTAATTAATTCTGCTCTTCTACAAAACCCCAGTTTTATAACTTACCATCATAGTAGAATTTGACATTTTCAGGCATCGGTTCGTATGGCGGAGCAAACACAGGACCTTTGTGCTCCAAGAATTTCCATTTAATACCTTCAGGATAGCGTTCTTCTTCCCACCTTTAAAACAGAGGAAGAGCTGAAATAAGTAAGGCTAGCATCCATTCAGCTAATGCACATAAATCCAGAATCTACAAAGCAGTATCACAGCATTCTATCTGAATGTCTAAATTAGTCAATCAAAGAGAGTCTTTCATTGTTCTGATGCGCCTAAAAACATCTCTATATTTATTAATATTAATAATGTTAATGCTCTTCACTTAATTTCTGGACTTGCTTTTATGTCACATCATTAACTTTTTTTCTGTACAAATGTTAGAATTACTTATAGTCAAGGTATTTTCTAAAATAAAGAATTTCAAAAATAATAGGCAATAAATCAATGCTCTCTACTATAAAAAGGTACAAAACAGGTAAATGAAGATAACAGAACAAAGCTGAATTCATTCTTGCTAATACAGTACTAAGTTATATAAAATAGTACTTAAAACCTATAAACCTATTAGTAACATATAATTCATAAAATCCCATATTAATATAAATTTAATATATTTCTGCATTAAAATGCGAAGTGAAAACATCATCCAATGAAACTCAAAATGACCATAAATTACCATTTTTGAAAAGTATATAAAATAATGTATGTGTGTTTGTGTGTGTGTGTAAACAGTTACATGCTTTGAAATGCCTGACCAAGGAATTTCAACACCAAAACCAAGTTTCTGAGTTTATATGCCAAGAATGAAACTGAGAATCAATTTTTGGATCACATTAGAACAAGTATAGGTTGTATAAAAGTAATGCACTAATTTTTAAAAGTGGGCCTTATCAGAGTTCTATTAATAAACATTAATTAATCTAGTACCAGCATCTATCCAACGGGACCCCAGTATAATTTCAGAATATCTTATATATGTGAATGCCTTCACCTAGGCCAGGGGTAGGGAACCTTGGCTCTTTTATGACTTGTGGATTTCAATACCCAGAATTCCTGAACCAGCCATGCTGACTCAGGAATTCTGGGAGTTGAAGTCCACAAGTCATAAAAGAGCCAAGGTTCCCTACCCCTGACCTAGGCTACAGGAAGCTCTAAATGTTGCACAAGTTTATATTCAGATGTCTATTGTCTCGTGGTTTATTACAGAAAGATTCCAAAGATCATTTAAAATGTGAATAATAACAATCTGTTATGCAAAACATGAAGCAGAGAAATACATCTTGGGTTGGTGTTTTTGTTTTTTTGGCCCACTGAAATAAATAGTATGTAAAGGTCTGTATTTTGGGCAGAGATCATGGTGTGCAAGCCAGGAGATGCATTCTTTAAAATTCTTTTATCTGGAGCTGTTGGAGCAAGCAGCACTATTGACATCAGTGAAGTAGGTGGGAATAGAAAGTCTCAGGTGTTTTTGACTTGGTGAGAGGTTAATTTTTCATTGGATGTGATGCTAGAAAGAATTTTTTTACCCTCTTGTCTTCCCATCTCTCTTCCCTCCCCACAAAAAAGGTAGAAAATATCCTGTCATTTCTCAGTGGTTTGCCACTGGAATTTGGTGACATATTTTAGAGGCACTGAGCATTTTGCTTGCAAAAAGCATATTACGTGAAACAGCCCAAAGTGTGTTGATGTAACTAGGAAGATAATTACTGCTTGAGCATTTCAGTAAAGGTTGGCCAGTACAGGATAGCAGTTATGATATAGGATAAGATAATGGTCACAAAACTTAAGAAAAATACCACAGCTTTTGAAAGGTAAACAAAGAGATACTGGTTAGATTATTTCTCATCCATAAATGTATATATCCCAAGCAACTGTTAAACCCAATGGCATTCAAAATGACTATATATTAGCTTCAGACAGAAGCAAAAACAACCACTACAAAACATATGCATAAGACTGCATCTCAAAAAGCAGCAATAAAATGGAATGGACAATAAACAAGGCAACAAAGACTGCTTTCCTTGTTAGTCCACAGTAATGAATCAGGGGTCTGTTCCGTTTAAGACAGAACCACAACAATTGTGATTGATCAGTTCTTTATGCTCCCCTCCCTCTTTATAGTCAAACCATAACATTCTAGACATACCAATACTAGCAATAGTAATAGCACTTAGACTTATAAACAGCATCACAGTGCTTTATATCCCTCTCTAAGCGGTTTACAGACTCAACACATTGCCCTCAACAATCTGGGTCCTCATTTTACCGACCTCAGAAGGATGAAAGGCTGAGTCAACCTTGAGCCCTTGAGAATCAAACTGCTGGCAGTCAGCAGAAATAGCCTGCAGTACTGCATTCTAATCACTGCGCCACCACGGCTCTGGAAACTAAACACAATCTAGCTCCCAGAACTGAAAATGGAAGCATATCTTTAAAGTTCACCAAGTTACACGACAGTGTGTTGTGACTGTGAAGTGAAGAACTACAAGATATGCGAAAACAAGGCATGAATATAATGCCAATATATTCTTGAGTTACTCTTATTTTTTAAATAATAATTAAAAAATTGCATTGAAAATTAAACCAATAGTTTTATATTCTAAAGTATGCTTAAATAATTTCTTAAAAGTTATCACTTGTTTATCATTTGATATTCTCATTGGGGGATTTTATTTCTAAACACAGAGCTGGTTAGCTGAAACAATAACAAAAGTTATTTTGTAATAGAAAAGAAAAAAGAAAAAGAAAAAATACACATCAAAGTATTCAGTATATACAGTAAAAAGGGTGATATGCAAATATAGTTTTTCATTTAACCAGAAGCATTCTTAACCAACTCATGCTCTTAGTTTCTAAATAGTTCTGTTATAGTTAGGGGTGGGGTTGGTTGTGTTATTTTAAAGGCTAAAATTCTGAGTTCAAAAATGCAATAAAGGGATTTCGTAAAATAATGGGGAATGACACACTGATTTCCTCTCACTGAGAGAGCTTCTAGTTCTCCAAATTTCATAACTGGCACTGAGACTAATAACAGGCTCCTTAGAGAAGGCCATTAATGAGTTCATAGCCTTAAAGACGAAAAACAAATCAGATGAAAGGAAGACAGAGGATGAAAGGGAGGCGGAATAGCTTTGCGCCTTCAAAAGACAAGAGAAAGAGGCAGGGAGGGAGAAAATGATGATGTTGTGAGTTATCAAGATATTGCTCTTGACCCCAAAAACTCCCTACATAGTAGGACAAGTAAGGACACCATTTTTTTTAAAAATCAGGCTATAGCCACTTGAATCCTAGCTCAGCCACCTGGCCAATAATTCTCTCCCATGTTCCTGAGAAAATTCCCTGAATATCTGATGGCGTATTTATTTGGTTACTTTATACTGGTAAAGAGTTACTTTTTTATATTCTCTACCTGAAATGATTAGAGTAAGCTGTCGAGCCTTTTACAGTAAGAATAAAATCACTTGCATAAAATTGCCACTCTCACAATATCACATAAAAAGTGCCAATACTTTCACCTTCTATCAACTGGGGTTATGGCTTGGACCAATTTCTGAAACTTCTTCCTGTGCTCCTCTCTCTTCTGGTCTACAAACCATTATTTCTGTTCTTCTCTATGTCTTTTTGCTTCTTAAACCGTCTGACTAGCAAACTCTCTTTCTTTGCTGTGCCATGCAAAAAAATTTTCTGATCTATCCCCTTTTTCTAGTATTACTGAGCTTATAGCTTGAGAAATAACTATAGGTTATCTTCTGTGGGCATTTTTAAAATCAACTCCAGGCTCTTTTCTTTCTTATTGGCTGCAAGATGGGTTTGACTATGCCATGCCAATTCTGGTGGTAAGGTCCTTTAGATTTCAGCAGGATTCCTCTTTTTTTCCTTCTGTCCTTGTCGTGCTTTTTTTTTATTTCCAAGAATCTGCCATTTATTTGTTCAACCCTACTTCTACTAAAATTTTGTCATGCATTCTCAGGACTTATCAGATAAGATGCAGCACTCAATGATCCCTTGTGAACCAGTGATATTTTTTTTATTTGTATCATATTAAGGACAGTATATCAGTTTCTCTAAAGAGGAGTTTTTCAGAAATATAATTATGTTTTTTTTAAAAAAAAACAAACATCTTTGGGGATCAAGTATGATAGGTTGTATATACCTCAGTATGAAAAATATGAAAATATCTCAAAGAGCAAACTGGTTGTCATTGACAGAGAAAATAGAATGAATTAATGCAAATTATGCATGAATTGTGAAAACTGTGTGTATCCTGATGAAATTTTTACTAAAGATAAATTGATTGAGAAATGATACAATAAGCAAATACTAGTGAAAAGACAGATCTTTTAATTTATTAAATTTTTTGCCACCCATCTCAAGTGAGAAGATTAGGCAGGGCGAGGGGACTAGTTAGGTAGTACATAGCATCTTATGAGTAAAGATACCTAGGAGTAATCTGAATGCAGACAAACTGGACTTTAACTATGTTCTTTAAAACAAACATGGGTTGAAAGGATAGAAACGTACGGTGAATGGTGATGGTATAAAAGAAAGTTAGCTGTATTTCCTTTCCTTTTTCTAGTCTCCTCCTGTTTATTTTATTGGTTTATTATTTCCTACTTCTTTTCTATGCTGTGCATAATATTGCTTAACATGAAAGAAAATTACACGATGGACATGTATATATACAAATGTATGTAGGTGTTACCATTTCCATTTTTGTTCCTCTTCTTTTTTTGTTTTTTTCTTTTTCATATCTCCTGGGGGCTTCTTATCTTTGCTCTTTATTTTCTTCGGTTTGCTCTCCTAAAAACAGATAAATGAAAACGTACTATGGTAACACAAGATTCTTTTATATTTTAAAATTTAGCGTAAAATGAGATCCATTTGAAATATTCTTAATAGAAAAGGAGGTTTAACACACATGTATTTTAGCGGCTTTATACACTGGGGCTATGAGAATGTTTTATCAAAGTTAATATATCAAGGTTATTATGAATAACTATTTTTAAGTGAGATATAATAGGTCTGAGCAACATTATCAATACTGCTCAATTTAAAATTTGATTTTCTTTTAAGCCTGATATAATGCTACATGTATAAACAAAAGAGAAAGTGTATTTTCAAGTAAATATGCTATATTCATATTGCAACATCTACAAATTTGCTTAATTACCTCCAAAGTTCAGGCTAAAGGTACTGTGTTTCCCCAAAAATAAGACCCACACCGAAAATAAGCCCTAGCAGTCTCTGGGCGAAAAGTGTTTGGGTGCCTATGGTGCACCTCCACCCCCTCCCCTACCTGCCTCGCCTGGTGGCAGTGGCACGGCATGGTGTGCCGCATGGCCTCCTGTTATCAGCGGCCGCAGAAGTGACAGGCAGCCACATAGGCTCCTGTTGGATGGGGTTCTTGGTGCCGCAGCCGCGAGGCAGGTGTTGGGAAAAAAATAAGACATCCCCCGAAAATAAGATCTACCGCCTCTTTTGGAGACAAAAACAGTTTATAAGACCGGGTCTTATTTTCGAGGAAATAGAGTAGGATTCTTACTATATATATTGGACAATATTTAAAGCTATGTCAGGATCAATACTGATCCACTGTCATAAATTGTTGGCAGTCCATAAGATAAAATAAAATGTAAAAAATACCTCTTCATCTTCCTGTTTTCGTTTTTTTGATTTTTTTACATCTTCGGTTTTAATCTTCTTAGGTTTGTAGTCAATACTGAAATAGCAAAATAATTGCAAATAATTCATTTCTTTTTAGCCTCATCAGTTCTATTTGAATATTAGTGCTTGAAAAAATTACCCTGCCTCCATTTCAAAAGGTTACTTTTTTGTCTGTCTGTCCGTCCAATCATCCATCTATCTTCCTTCAATTTGTATGGCTGTCCATCTCAGCAAACAACTCTGAGAAGTAAACATTCTTAAAATAAAGTTGTCATTAAACTGTTGGTTTAATAATTGGTTGCTTTAGAAGCCTTTTCCAAGGCTATAGAAATTATCCCAGCATCTGACAATAAATATGAATTATCTATCTATGCTACATCTGTGAAACAGCATACATTTAATGCTTTAGTGCTTGATTCAGCCTACTGCCCCTTATATTGATCAACTTTATTCTAGAGAACCTCTGCAAAATAATATAATAATGCATCAACTGGAAAACACTCTTGATGTACTCTGAATTGTAGATTCTATACACCAGATATAAATTTGTGTTCTGATCTTATCAAGAGATATAGCTAATCAACTGAGTGATGAAGACTCAGAACTGGAAAGACAGCTGAATTTAACACTCACTCATCATCCTCTCGGGGTCTCTTGTAATCTTCTTTATAATAGCCATCATCATCTATTTCTTCCTTTATACGTGGTGGACTATATGATGAAGGAATATACATATTTATTAAAAAACAGTTAAAACATCATCTGGAAGCTCACCTTACTCACTAATTTTACTGCAACAAGAATTCACTCATTATCGTTGCATTCTTATCTACTCTGGAATGAAGTACTTGCAATATTCAATGTTAAAATGGAAACAAATTCCTGCAAGAATTTCATGACAAAGAGCAAGAGAATAAAACTCCTCAACAATAAAACACAAGCCTCTGAGCCTAAGCAAAAAGTTTCCCTGTCAGTTGTATCTAGGGCACGGTGCTCATCTCTGTTTCTTGGCTGAGGGAGTCAGTGTTGTCCGAAAACAATTTCCATGGTCATGTGGCCAGCATGGCTATACACCAAAGGCTCACAGAAGGCTGTCACCTTCCCACCAAAGTAGTACATATTAATCCACTTGCATTTGCATGCTTTCAAACTGTTAGGTGGGCAGGAGCTGAGGCAAGTAATGGGAGCTCACCCTGTTTCACAGAGTTCAGGTAATCTGATACACCATTTCAATATTTTAGGTTTTTAGAACAAGTCCTTTCATTGGCTCTCTGCCATCTTTCAGCTTTCTCATGCCCTGATTCAGGATATAATGGGATAGATCCAATTTAGCATACTAGTAGGGGTGTGCATGTTACCTGATGTGAAACACTGTGCTAATTTGCAGATAATATAGACCAGGACTACTTATTGAAACTTATTTCATTCTTTTCAGACAAGAACAAAAATTCAGAAAGCATGTTCGTGCAAAGTCATTACTTGCCTACCTGGAGAAGCCATTTTCCTTTTCTTTCTTTATTTTCATTTCACCAGATGATTTACTCTAAAAAACATAAGTGAGAACTGGGTCATTATGATTTTTAAAAATGACATTAGATTTTCTCCCCATGGAACTGACAAAAGACCTTGCACCAGAAGCTTTTGTGCCGAGAAACTTTTCAATCTGTGAGACTAATCTCAAACATTGCATCTTTTCTATTTTCTTCTTCTAACAATGGCATTTATTCTTACAAACTTAAGATATTCAAATACAATGTAAAAGCTTGTTTTTAATTTTAAATGTCTTAAATTTGTGACAATAAAACAGATTTTTACAATGTTCTAAGCTTACTAAGTTTTGGGAGAAAGTAGTGATGACATTGATGTAATTGTGAGACGAAAGTTAAAATTTTCAGACAAAAATATTCTGTTGAACTATATATGTAGCACTTGGAATTTGATAACGGGATAATATATTTGGATTTTCCATGCCCTTACTATTGCTAAACAATAGACATTGCAGTATTGGAAAAGTAGATGTTCGGCTCCTTTCACTTAATGGATTGAATATCTAATTGCACTTGCCAATTATCAGCAGATTGCCTATTGACATAGACTTTCTATGGAGAAATGTAATGAAATATGGGGCTTATTTATATAAAATGCAGCACATAAAATAAGCATGATAATTATATGAATGTATTAGAAATACAGATGTACTTGAATAATCACATCAGATAAGTATAAGAATTGTATTTTAAAATTATATATTATATTTCTTTTTTATTCTATTGTGTCACCGTTTTAAAAGGTACTTTCTATGTATTTCTTTTCTTTGACAATATATGCATTTTTATCATAATTATCTTTGTACCCTTTTGAACCTTTTTCGACATTTTAAACAAACAAAACATTCAAATACAATGAAGTTGTACACAATTTGTAACTTCATTTTATCCTCAGAACCTTAACTTTTTCTTGGTATCAAGAGCTGCAGATCAGATAACTTAGAACATGAAAGCAGAGAGTGGCTTTATCCTTGATAAAAGTACAACCCAAAGGAGTAATATCCCCATCATAGTACTGTACCTTTTCTTCCTTTCGCTTCTCCTTCTCTCTATCTTTGTGCTTGTCTTTGTGTTTGTCATGTTTTTCTGAACTACCATCTTTATGTTTGGTTTTCTCCTTCTCTTTGTGTTTCTTCTCTGAAAACTCTTTGTGTTCACTGTAAGATTTAAGAATACTTTCAGTCAGAGAAGGGGCAACTGAAAAAAAAAGTCACATTATCAACATCCAAATAGACTTATCAGCATCTAAAGTTAAGCTTTCAAAAATTTATTGCAATGATTGTATCAATAGAGGAAGGAATACTAGTTATCATTAACTTAAACTTTCTATTTCTTTTCTAGCAACAGTAAAGACAGTCTGCTTAAGAGAAATCAATAAAATTCACAAGTAACTGCATTCCTCTGACATAATTGCAGGCATATGTGTGCTTTGCTTAATGTATCTCAACTAAAATGATCTTAAATACATCACTAACTTGGATTCTCAATGGTGCTATCCCAGCTCAGTGAGGAACATGTAAACTTAAAGAAAACAATGCTATTATAACTCTGCATGTATGACTCGGTTTCTTTAAATTACTCAATATTTTCTCTTTAAAGAAAAGAAAAAGCGACACAAACATTTCAGGAACACATCTTTATTTGTCTAATTATTCTCCAGGGAAACCCAGAAAANACAAACTAAGAAAAACCTAATAAGTGACATCTCAATTCGTACTTAAACTGACTATGCTTTCCAAGCCATGGAAATATAATGGTTGAATTAAGATCCAGAAAAGGCCAAGTCTAAACTCTTCTAGGATAGCCTGCCCAAAAGTAAATTTCACAGAACAGAAAAAAATGATGTATAATGTTCAGCTGTTATCAGTCGTTTATATTATGACCACATGAAGAAAGCAGAAACATCATAAGCACAAAGACAAACTTGTATTTTAAAAAGATTACCTCCTTTTGAGTTATCCCCTTTTAAAACTGTAATTAGCCTGACTCCAACAAATATTCAAAGCAAAAGCTAAATAAGCAAGTATTCTGAACATTTTTATGTATTTATCCTTTAACAAAAATCTACACCCCCCCAACCCGGTAATTTATAAATGGACATATAGTTATTTCTTCTGAAAATATTCCTGTTTCATTGCAAATTCTACACTAAGATTGGAGTCAGAAGTGCTAAAAAGCCTTTGCAGTTTGCATGAACTATTCTATCAAATAAAATTCACTTATTGTACAATTATAATCAAAAGAAACCAATATTTTCCAGTGAGTTTTATCTCATCATAAAACACTGTTATCCAACAAAATACTTAAAACAGGAAAATACATCAAATCTGCAGTTTTTGCCTGTGTGAGTGAACACAGGTCTTTGAGCGAGTCTTGACTCTTGATGACTGCCTGGGAAAGTCCCTGCAGTTTTCTTAGCAAGATTTTCAGAAATGGTTTGCCGTTATCCTCTTCCTAGGGCTGAGAATGAGTGACTGGCTCAAGGTCACCCTGCTGGCTCCATGCCAAAGGCAGAATTAAAACTCACAGTCTCCTGTTTTTTAGCACAGTACCTTTAAACACTGTGCCAAACTAAAACCAATTATCTTGGAAACTATATTAAAAATTTCCTAGCTTTACTTAAAGAGTCTCTTTGTATGCTTTGAAATTTCTTTTTACCCAATCTTAGATTTGTGATCTTAAAATTAAAAAACAACAATATGTGAATGAAGAGAAACAAAAGCAGCTTTAAATTGTTTTCTATTATTATGAGTACCTGTTCATAATCTTTCAACACAGATCTAATTTTTGTGGCCTTGAACTTAAAGAATGTATGAAAAAGTGGGCTAAGAATTTTAATTACAATATACAGATGGATCAATGGGAAGATATGTGGTTAAAAGGGTGAAAGTTACATTGGGATATGATCTCAAAGGGAATTTTTATAAAATGGTATATTGTTGGTACATGACGGCAGAGAAATTATTTAGAGTATAGAAAGGCACTTGAAATATATGTTTTAAAAGTGAACAACATGACGGGACATTTAAGCATCCTTGAGGGATATATAAAAAAGCTAAAAATATTGGATTCAAATACGTACAGTACAGGAAATTCATGATACCTAAGATACTGAAAGATTAATATTCGATTCAAACCAGAACTTTTCCTTTTATAATTAACCAATTAACTGCTTTAAAAAAAACCATGGAAAACTATTTCAATATATGATTACTACACCAAGATAGTATTATATGCACAAAGATTCATCATGGAGAATGCCTGGTGAAATTGACAGAACTTGCTGACAACCTATTAACTGAAGGTACTAATCTTGTCTCCAGTGGTTGGTAAACGCGTTTACGACGTTTACCCCGTTGTGATCGTAGCCGTCCTGTGAGCCCCACCGAGATCACGGTCGTACTGCGAGCCCCGCCCCACTACGATCACGGTCACCCTACGAGTTCTCGACACGATCACGACCGCACTACGAGCCCCGTCACGATCGTTTGCTCGGGGCAGTGCTAGCGCTGGTGGGATGCTCAGAGCGGCGCTAGTGCTGGTATGACACTTGGGGGCGGCGCTAGCACGAGTGTGACCATGCCTTCATGGGGCCCAGTGGCCTTTTAGTTGGCCGCGGCCCACAGGTGGGAACCCCTGGATTAGATAACAGACACCTATATTTCTTGGTAATTGGAAACTCAGTAAGTTTAAACTTTTCTATTTCTATTTTCTTTTCTATTTTTCTTCATTTTTTTACTTGCACTGTTTGCCTTTTTCTGTCTTACTTTGTATTAGTATTAGTCTTTATCATCTTTTTAAATTTTTTAAATAAAAAATTATATTAAAATGTATTTTTGTAGCCTTAAGGGTTTTCTATTTCAATATCATTTTATGATGTGACAAGATCAATTATGCGTAGCAGTATCACAGATCTATCAAGATGACTTACTTCAAGATATACTGTGTTAATATAAATAACTTTATAGAACATGTAATTATTTTATGCTCCCCAAGGCTATCTATAAGATCAAGTATAACCTGCCTACCAACAGGGGTCTTATCAGGTTAAATCAACCCAAAAGAATCAAGCCCTTTAGAATAATCAGAACATTAATAAAATATGAACTAAATTTTTCAACTGTTAAACTGTCCAAATTCATCTATGTAATAACAATCAGATTGAAATAATCTAGAGACTATAAAAATTTATTCAAGATTTTGAAAACTCAGATTTTGCAAGCTCAGATCATAAAAGTACCTGGCCTTACCTGTTACTGTACTTGGATTTTTCTCTGTCTTTATCCTTCTTGTGCTCTTTGTGTCGATGTTCTCTGTCTTTGTGTTTATCTTTATGTTTGTGCGAATCTGTGGACAGAACAGCAAAGAAAGGAATTTAGTAAAACAGGGAAATAAATCAGTTGTCCAAATTGCTACAATGCTACTAATTATGCATTGGTACCCTAGGCTGAGACACATGCTATCAATTTTCTGTCTTGGTGGCTAGACATTGTAAGGGTCTTTATGCCCTGTGATAGAGCAGGTTTACAATTTGGAAGTCCTTTAGTATTCTTGGCTCCTAGCAGGTGGCTAGTGAGAGCCTTTGCCCAGCTATGGAATGTAATTTGTAGCCATACCTGATTCAAGAGGTCCTAGATACAGTAACTCATGTCTTGCAATGTGATTTATGTAAGTGTGCCTTAAAAGACTAGAAATTAAAACTTGTCCAAAATGCAGCACCCCATGTATTAATTGGGAACATGTAATACCAAGGGTCCTGCCCTGGTTCCAAATTCAGTTCTGGGTACAATTTAAAGTATAGCCCTTAATCTATAAAATCCTCCATAGCGTGGCATTTAGATATGCCTTGTCCAATCTTCAACCGTGGTAGAACTGTCTCCTTCACTCTGGCTATATTTGGTAGCGCGTAAGTCAGCCATTTTTCTTCCACATGATGTCATGTATTGAAGCTGAGAGGAGGACATTTGTCAGTGTGTTATGTGATCGCTATCAAGTTGGTTGTTTTTTTTTTGTTCTTTCATTTTGTGAGCTTGTAAAACGCAATAAAATTAAAGTAATGGTGCAAAGAGTTGACTGGTTGCCCAGAAAGCGATGTAAAATAGTATTATTAAGTGAACAAGGCTACAGTTATAAAGAAATTAGAAGAAAAATTGGTGGAAACTTAACCAAAGGTGGCATTTCTACTGTACTTTTCCCAAAAGGTTTCCACAATTTTGGCCACTACTGTATATTTGGTGGGCTCTAGGTGGCAGCTTTTTCTGTTATGGCGCCTGCATTATGGAACATGAAGTGAAACTGGCTTCATCACTTTTGACTTTCCAAAGGACCCTCACAACCTTGGCTGTACCATCAGCCCTGGGGATTGGATAATTATTAAATATCTCTGTTATTATTAATATCCCGCTGTCCAATATTTTTTAGATTTTTAAAACAATCTCTTTAATGTTTTAAAATAAAATAAAATAATGTGTTAGAATTCACAGCATTTTTCTCTTTTTGACATTGCAATCACTATCAAACAGGCTAAACTGAAATTCTGATTTTCCCAAGAGTACCACCTGACCTTAATAAAAACTGAACCCTGGTCTCACATAATCCTGGTGCTAGGAAACAATTATCCTCAGAATCACACAATTCTCTTAGGAATTGCTTCCTTATCTATTTTGCATATGCAGATGGGAGGTGGGGGGATATGAAATCCAGCTATGTTACAACTTTGAGCATTGTTCATTCTAGATCCATTTGACTGGTTGATTTTCCCCATGAGTCAAAACACTTAGAGCAGGCATGTCAAACTCTCGACGTCACGTGAGGTCGCATCGTGACTTTTTCCCCATTGTTGGCAATGGGGTGGGCGCGGTTTCAGCATGACGCATCCAGCCCGCAGGCCGGCATGTTGACATGCCTGACTTAGAGTAAACTTGTTCAGGAATCTAACTGAATAAGCTACACTGACCACTCAGAGTGTGATGATACATGTTGCAAGAGAAGCCTAGATCACTTGCGTTTAGGCTGTAGTAGAAAATTTTCTAACACATTCTTACTTTAGCCATAAAGAAGCACAAAAAAGTACTGGTGTTCAACATGACTTTTTTGTTTTTATTCCTGTGAATGCAGCAAATTTGTTTTCACTAAGCCATGTTACTTTGTTCAGTTTCCTAAATACACTAGCACCACCACTCCATTCCCATGTCTGAATTAATAAACTAGGAATGTAATTATATAGTACAAGATAAAAATCTAGGATTTATTTTTATTATTGCAATTGAGCTATATAAGACTTACAGAGTAAAATGAGGTGCAAGTGGGTAGATATGAAAAGAATAAGCAACCATTTAATTTTTATATTCCATGCTTAGCTACAGGCTTAGCTAAGATAAGTCTGTAATTAGAAGGTAATTTTATACTTTTTCCAGAGAACAAATCCCAGTAAACCATTAGGATTTAACTTTTCAGTGAACATGTATAGGATTGTGTTGTTAACTGGAGAGCAATGAGATACATTTATATATCACAGATGATTAAAGCTAATTTTCTAGTGTCTGTATAAGAATATTTGCTATGTTTTTAAAAAATTAAAATAAATACCTTAAGAATTTGAGGAACTTTTTCCTTCATACCCCCAAACCACTTATCTGAAAGTTCTTTTTACAAAATGTAGGTAAAACACTTTACATCAATTTAAATATCCCTGCTGTGATTGGATATGCCAAGCAATGCAGTCATAAAGTGTGATGTCACATGACCACACTGCTTATTACATTTCACTTCTGAAATCTTGCCGAGAAAATTGCAGGGACTTGTCCAGATAGTCAGCAGGAGTCAACCTTGATTTGAAGGCTCACAAATGAACACACAATTCCTTTTTAGACTGAACAAGCTATAGGTTTTTAATATGCTAAGGATTGCTGCATTAGTCAATTAGTTGCATTTTCTTTAATAAAAACAATAGTTCTAAAAGGGGCGTTGTCTTATCTGAACGCCTTTTCTCAGCATGACGATGGAGAATCCACCAATGGGTTAACTTCGTCTTCTGCCCGTAGAGACTAAGTCAGCCAAGTTGCCACGCCTACCCTTTGGTTGGAGGAGCTGGATCCTAGTTTCTGGAACGGAAGCAGGAACCATTGCAGGTCTCTGGAGTGTAGCCGTGCTCAGGGCACGATTGCTATGTATGAAATCATCTTTCCCAGCAGATGGGAGAGGGTGGCCAGTGTGGTGACGCTTTTCCTTCGAATCTGAGTGACCAGGACTCAAATGCTGTTTTGACATTCTCGAGATAGGTAAATCTCGCACTTCCTTGTATCTATCAACGCTCCCAGGTGAAGGAGGCAGGTCGACGGAACTGTTTGGCTTTTTTGGAAGTTTACTGAGAACCCGTGGTCTTGGAGGGTTCTTAAGGTTAGTATCAATTCTGGCTGTGCTGCCTGGACGGAGGAGGATTGGATGAGAATGTCGAGATAGCACTGGATGCCCACCGGGATGGTCCATAAATGCGAAGCGAGCGTCGCCAGTACCTTTGTGAACACTCTGGGGGCCGATGAGAGGCCGAAGGGTAGAGCCCTGTATTGAAGGTGTTGGTCTGCATAATAGAACCTGAGAAATTTCCGGTGATCAGGAAGTATGGGGATATGTAGGTAGGCCTCCGTCAGATTGATGTATGTTAGGAGGTCTCCTTTTCTGATGCCGGCCAATATAGATTGGAGTGTCTGCATTTTGAATCTTCTGTATGCCAAGTGATTGTTTAGACTTTTTAGATCTTTGCCCTACATCCTCCCGAGGCTTTTGGGACGATAAACAGAATGGAATAGAATCCCCGTCCTTCTTGTCCCGCTAGTAACGGCTCTATGGCCCAGATTTCCAGGAGGTGTTGAATGGCCTCCTTGAGGACGCCTCTTTTGACTGGATCCCTGGGTGATGGGCAAGGAACAAAGTGCCTCGGGGGTTTGGAGGTGAATTCCAGAGAAAGGCCGAATCTGATGGTGTTTAGGACCAAGAGGTCCGTGGTGGCTTGCCATCTGTTTGCAAAAAGGACCAGCCTGCTACCTATGGGAGAGGTCTCCCCACCGTCACTTGGACTTACGAAAGGGGCGTTCCCCCGCTCCTTGAAAGGGCCACTTCGAGTGGAATTGCTATCTGTATCTGTCCCTGTTGCCAGATCTATCGACCTGACGGTCTGATCTGGGCTGAAAGGGGCGGGAGAACAGAGGAAACTCTGATCCTGTTTCAGGTCGGAAGGTCTGCCTACAGGGATAGGTAGGGGTTCTCTTATCTACTTTCCTTGAGAGGTGAATCATGACCTTGCATTTATCCTTATTTTTGATTAGGTAAGGGTTTAAGGCCTCACTGAATAGTTGGCCACCTCTGTACGGCGCAACCGCTAACCGCCACTTTGCCTTGATATCCGCTCGCCATTGTCTGAGCCATAGCAATCTGCGGGCTGTGATGTTGGACGCTATTGCTCTGGCAGGATAATTGGCAGCGTGTAATGAAGAGTCCGCCATGTATTCTGTTGCAGCCACAAGCCTCCTTAAGTCATGGTGCATTCTGTCCTCCTCTGGAGAAACCCTGGCCTGGAGCTGGTGCAGCCAGAGTAGGGAAGTTCTGGCAAAGAAGGAGTTAGATATCGCTGCCCTTATCGCCCATGCTGAGGCCTGATGGGTCCTGCGGAAGGTAAGTTCCGCCTTCTTGTCCTCTGACTTCAATGCCTCCGCCATATCTCCAGATACCGTGGAGGGTGAGAACAGTGACGCCAGGGGTTCATCTACTACTGGTACCTCTATCACCTCTGACAGGGCAGGATCAACATTGAACAGCTTCCTGTCAGTCCCCCCCCCCCATTGAGGGGAAGGATCCTGGCGTTCCCCAATGTTTCTGGATTGTATTAAAAAAGAGAGGGGGACAGGGAAAATGTTGCTGTGTGAAGGTGGGTTCAGAAAACACCTTGCTAGTAGTGCCCTGGCTGGTAGAGGGTCCTCCTGAGGGTCCCTTGCCTGTCCAATCTTTGCCGTGCTGCTGGCCTTGTGGAGCAGGGATTTGAAGAGGGCCGGGTTAAAGATGCCTATGAACGGTGGGGGGGTCCGGGGATAGATCCTCATCCTCTGACAGCCCCTGGTCAGTTTGTTCATAGTCCCCAGTGAGCGACATCCTGCTTCTAGAAGATTGAGACAGCGAAATCGATCCCTGGTATGCCGTGGCTTTCTCTTTGGATAGTTAGGATCGACCTCCTGATGCTACAGATTCAGCCCTGGATCTTTGGTGCATTATGGAAGCTATGCCTTGTGCGACAGCCTGGGATATCAGGGCCTGCAAATGTTCAGATGATAAGGCTCCTTGACCCTCTGAGGGGT